GCCCTGCGACGCCCGGGTCCCCGCCACCCGCCGCTGTGGCGCGCCGGGCTGGCCCAGGCGGGCGGGCCAGGCATCGCGCCACCTTCGCGGGCGGGGCCTGATCGGTTGGGTTTCTAGTTCCCTCCATGGGCTTCCCGTGGAGACCCCTCCCAAGGCCAGAAGGTCCTGGAGACAATGGAGGGGGGGGAGTCCCCTCAACTCTAGCAGCCAGGAAGGAGCTTCACAGCGACCCCTCCTAAGAAACCTGAGGTCCAGCTTCATTAACAGGGTCCCCAAAGGCAGAGACCAAGTGTCAGCATCAGAAGGGTGCCCCAGATTTGCCCCTGAACCATCAGAACGGAGCCCCCTCAAACCCCATTCACACTTGGGGGGTCTTTCCCATCAATGCCAGAAAGATTAGGGGAAAGTAGATAAAGAAAGGAAGAGGCAGGTGCCACCCACTCATTTCCCTTTCCTCCCCCTCAGTTCTCAGCCTGAGCTCAGAGTGCATTTCAGAAAACACGGACACAGCAGGGAAAGTGCTGTGTGCTGGGGCTGGGGGACAGTCTGTGCCTGCCCTGGCCCCAGCACACTAGGAAACAGCTCATGGTCAGCCAGAAACCAGCCGATGACCCTGTCCTGCCACTTTCCCAACCCCTGATAAAGTGGGCTCTCTTACACGTCAGGTGCTCAGGTCCGGGAACTCTGGGCTCTAGCTCGCTCACTTCCTCCCTAGAACCTCAGAAAGGTCTACCCCATAGTTTCCTAAAGGACCCTCCACCTTTTTTTTTAAAAAAAAAGAATGTATGTATTCATTCATTTATTTTAATTTGTCGAGGGAGAGAGAGAGAAAGTAAGAGAGCATGTCACCTGGTCCAGGACTCAAACCATGGTTGGCCATGTGGGAGTGTCCAGCGCCTTAACCACCACGCCACCTGCTGGCCCCAAGACCCTCCACTTGCGATAGGACATGGACCCCTGCATTCATGCACACCTTCCAGCTTTCCAGAGGGCACTCGTGTTCACCCTCCACTTGGTTCTCACCACCACACATACACGTGAGGAAGCTCACAGGTATGGTGCTGCCCGAGGTCACAGGCGGCCAGGGAAGTGGCTCCTGAAGGTCTCTCACCTTCTCTCCTGCCCCGAGCCACCAGAGAGGGCCTTAGAAAGGATGTTCCGGGCCTGAGAGTGGCACCGCAAAGCACAGTGCTCTGCAAGTAGGACCCACGTGGGAGGTTCCAGTTTGGGTCCAAAGACCACCGGAGTAAGCTGGGCACCTGCATGCCCATGACTTGGGGCTGGCTGAAGCTGGGGGTGGACTGGGGCATCAAGACTCGGTTGGGGGGGAGGCACTTGTGGCCTGGTGGTGAAGAGAGCCAGCCGACAGCGCGGTTCAAATCCTGGCCCTGGCGATTTGAAAAACACGCCAGGCCATGTGTGCCCATGTCCCATTGGGGGGTGCTTTCTCCCTCTCTTCCTCTCTGGCAAAACAACACAAAGCAACCCAACCCTGTTGAGGTGCTGTCACTCCATCCTTCTCATTCATGAAAAGTAACAATGAAGTGCGCGGTGGCTAAATGATGGGGTCGTGGAAAATGCTCTGGGAGGCTGACCCCGTGGAAGGTTCCAGATCTGCATGATCCATGGCTAAGGCTGGGGTTGGGTTGTGACACTGCAACCAGGCTGGAGGTGCTATCTCTCTCTCTCTCTCCCTATCTCTCTCGCTCATGGCAAAAAGAAAGAAAGAAACTTAGAGTCTCCTCCCATGCTGTCTTCACTTCATTCGGGTCATAACTTCTTTGGTGCTCACCCAGTTACTCAGATTTTCCAAGCTCCGCCTCCTTCTAAGACCTTTGTAGCTGCTGTTGCCTCTTTCTGGAAGATTCTTTCCTCCTGTCTGCTCTTCCAATCCTGCTGGCCATCTCCTTATGCCTCAACATCCCTAAATGGCCCAAATTCTCTATTACAGCACAATACTTGTTTTCCTGTGTAAGTCTATCGCAAGCTGTCCATCTTGTTTGTTTTCACATCTTTATTGTCTAGCTCCATCCTCCTCCCCAGAACCCTGAGCTTCATCGAGGCTGGGAGGAGGCTGGGGCATCATCTGGCCCGTCCAAGAGGGAACCCCCTGGCAAACAGGTGCTCAGCAGACAGGTGTGTGGCTGAAGGTGGACTGCGTGGGGGCCAGGGCCTTCGGCTCCCGTGAATTCTCCTGCACCTGACTGTGTCATGCCCAAGGACAAAGGAAACAGGTCTCATTCACAGGCCCTGAGTGAGGCAGGGTGTTGGGAAGAATTTTAATTCTGGAGTCTTCTACCTTGTTCCCACTGGGCAGAGGACTTCACACCCCAGAAAGGTTCCAAGGCTCCTTCATGTACTGCTGGGCCACAGCCGGCTTTTCTAAAACAGGACACTTGATTAGCTAAGTAGCAGGTATCAATAGCCAAAGGCAAAACCCTTGGCAAAGTTCAGTTCACCAAACACCGGAACACCCTGGGCGGGGCGAAGCTCGCACCCTCCCTCAGAAGCAGGCACTGGTGACCCGTTTCGCAGAGAGTGAAACTAAGGTTCGGGGAAGTAACTTGCCCTGGTCGGGTAAGCAATGGCTCCTCCTTCTTCCCTATCTGGGAAGCCCCCCGGCCATCCTCCTCAGACCCCAGGTGGCGGTTTGTCCCGGCCTTGTGTCCTCACACACCACCCCCACCCCAAGTTGCCTTCTAGCCAAGCGCACTGCACTGCAGAAGGGAGAATCCTGGCAGCACGGGGAGCCTCTGTAGGTGTCTGAGGGCAGGTGGGAGGGAAGGGAGGGAGGCTGGAAGCCCATCCAGGGTGAGGCCAGGCTGCCTCTGCCTCCACTGCAGCCTCAGTGGGTGAAAGGATGCCGAAGCTCACCTACCTCCCAAGCAGCAGTCTGCCCAGAGGAAGCTGTTTATCTTTTAGCACAGGAAAGATGAGGGCCCCTTCCTGAACCTCTGGCCTCAGGCGCTGCAGTGAAACTGAACCCCTCTCAAAGGTGGGAAAGGCTCAGCACCCCCGCCCACCTCAGTTTCAGCCTCAGCCTTAGCAGGCTTCATTTCCATTTGATAGGACGGGAGGTGGAGGAGGGCTGGCGGGGGTGGGCACTAGAGAAGTGACCCTGTATCTGTCCTCACCCCGGAGTGAGAATCTTCACCTCCGCTTTACAAATGAGAAACTGAGTCTGGGAGGAAGCAGGCCTGCCCCTCCCCATCACCAGACACCTGACTGGACAGCCAGGGAGCCTGCCCAACTCTAAGTCCCACCCTGGCCTCCTTACGCACCTCCAGGGAACCTGGGCCCACAGCTAGCGAGTGGCAGAGCTGGGCCTGGACTCGGGTCCTGACTCTGGTCCAGTGCTTCGCTGGAAAGTGGAACTGCTTCTCCAGACAGGGATGGCACGGAGTGTGGGTGCCCTGGGCAGACTAAGGCGCTGGGCTGGCAGAGCGGCCAGCTCTTGTTCTCCCTAATTGCCTCATCTGTAGTTATGGGTGCCACACCCAGCCCCTGAGCTTCAGGGAAAGGGGAAGAACAACTGCTGCTTTGTGTAAGTCTCGCTCGGTCCACTCCTGGTCCCTTCCTGGCCCTGCCATGGGGCTGCTGTGGAGAGATCTGGGCTGGATCTGGGCCTGGTGTCCATGTGAAGGGCCTGGCCGGGACCAGAAGGAGGGGCAGAATTACAGCCCTCCCCATCCCCAGGCCCCGGGGCTCAGCCACTCAGGGAAAGCCAGGTGGGATGAGATGGGGCACTCTCCGGAAAGCACCCCCGTGGAGCTGGGCCTGAGGTGAGCAGAAACAAGAAGCTCCATAAACACTCACGGGTTTCTGATGGCAGAGGCCTCTGGGGGCCGTGGTCCCTGGGCATGACCCCATTTGCCCCAGCCGTGTTAGTCACTTGGATGGCATGGATGGGTGGTTTGCCCAAGGTAGGGGATCTCCAAGGAATCTTGGAGTGTGTCAGAGGCAGGAAGGAGTTGCCTGGGAGTGGAAGGCTTAGGCCTGGGACTCAGTGGCCACTCCCTCCCAGCTAAGCTCAAAGCTGTGGCCCTTTGCAGCCAAGTCCCCATCAATTCCCGCTTCTGTGCCAGTACCTGGCAGGGACCTGTTAAATCCTTACATGCCACCTGAGGCCTCTCATGTAAAATAAGCACTGTTAGCTAAATACTTGTACTTCACAGGCATGAGAACATGGCGCTTTTGTAAAAGCTCTGGATCCTGATCTCAGTTCAGGTCCCCACTCTGTTACTTCCCAGCTGTGTGACCTCGAGTGAGTGACTCAGTCTCTCTGTGCCACACTCATCTCCTCTGTGAGACGGGGAGGATGCTAACTGTCCTGAGGAGAGTGCCGTGGCACTTAAATGAGCTAATACATGGAAAGTGCTAGGCACACGACGTGGCCCACTGCCGGTGTATGCTGTTACTTATAAAATATAAGCCTCAGGCCAGCCGGTGGCATGGTGGTTAAGGTGGCTGGATCCCACATGGCTGACTGCATGGTTCAAGTCCCAGACCTGGCAGCTTCAGAAACACACCAGGCATGTATGCCTAAAATTCTGAGAGGAGAAGGGAGGACAGGGGATTACAGAGTCACCATCCCCCTTGGGCGGAGGGGTGCTTTCTCACTTCCCCCATCTCTCTCTGTTTCTCTCTAGTGTGCACACTCACTCTCTAGAAAAATAAATAAATAAGAAGGAAAGAAACAGCTCATACCAGGAACCCACTCTTCCGGGAATGCAGCTTCACACTATTTACTCAACAGTGGGAAGACTGAGGCAGTAAAAACAGACCTGTATCCAGTTCTAGCGTCCCTGGCTTGCGGGACCTTGAGAATGTCATTTTCCTCTCAGGTCTCAGTTTTCTCATCTGTAAAAAGGGTCACTGTGAAGATGAGTGAGCTGAGGCAAGAACTGCTGGGCATACAGCAGCCCGCCCCCAGGGGGCTGGCCCTGAGGGACACAGTCTGTCCCCTAGCTCATGCCTGCATCTCTTCATCTTCCGCCACACCCTTATGTTTGCTCTGTCCTCATACAGCTTTCCCAGCGTTGATCTTTTTTATTTATTTCTTTCTTTTTAAGATTGTTGCCATAGGGAGTGTGCACTTGCTGGAGAAAGACTGAGACAGAGAGAGAGAAAGTGAGATCGCCCCGAGCGGGATGGCCACAACGTACTCTCTTCTTCTACGTTCTCCTCTCAGGACTGGGCATACACGCATAGGCCCTCAACACAATTTTCATGCCCCTAGGTCTGGGACTTGAACAGTGGTCAGCCAAGTGGAAGTCCAGCGACGTAACCACTACGTCACCTGCTGGTCCCAGCCAGTCTTGATCTTAATTCAGCCAACGTGCAACATGGGCGATCAAGGGGAAGACCGTCAGCAGCACTGAGTCAAGGAGGAGTTAGCGACTGGTGGCACGTACCCCTGACATGACAGGATGACAATGGCATTTTCCCCTGTGGTCCTCCCCCCGAAAAGCACACCATTCCAGTCGAATCATGAGAAAAACAGAAGACACACCCTGGTTGAGGGACAGTCTACAAGTCCTGGCTCCTACTCCACACAATGGTCAGGTCACCAAAAACAAGGAATGTGCGAAATCGTCACAGCCCAGAGAAGTCTAGGGAGACACAATGACTAAACACAATGTGCGCCCCTGGATGGGGCCTGGAACAGAGAAAGGACACGAGGTAAAAACTACAGAGACCTGAACAAATTCCAGACTTGAGAAATGCCATGTCGATGCCAGTTCATTAACTGCGGCACACATACAGCCATAGGGCACGTGCGCTCACTGGAGAGAGACAGAGAGAGGGAAAATGAGAACTCACCATCGCGCGCTTCCTCCCCGGCGGGGGGAGATGGCCACGCCGCAATCCCTTCTCATCCTCTCTCTCCTTGGGATTTTGGGCACACACGTGCCCAGCGTGAGTTTCAAGTCACCCAGTCTAGGATGCAAACTGCAGTTGGCCATGTGGAAGTCCACCTGCTGGCCTCATGGTCCAAAAATATTAAGTGGAAAATTCCAAAAAGAAATAATGCATGAGTTTTAAATTGTGCAGCATCTGAGCAGGATGAAGAACTCTTGAGCCGTTCCGCTCTGTCCCACCAAGGACGGGACTCGCCCCTCTGTCCAGTGTACACGCACACTGCACACTCCTTGCCGCTAGTCACTGGGTACCTCCCTTGGTTATCAGAATGAGGGCTGGGTACTAGCCATGATTTCAGACATCCACTGGTCAAAGGAGGGGGGCTAGTGTGTCATACAAGATATTAATACTAGGGGAAATTGGGGCCGGCCAGGCAGCGTGATGGTTAAGGTGCTAGGTCCCACATGGATGAGTGTATGGTTCGAGTCTGGACCCGGGGCTTGGAAAACACGCCTGGCATGTGCCCATGCATTCTCCAAATCCCGAGAGGAAAGTGGAGGAGAAGGGACTGAGGTGTGGCCATCCCCCTGGGAGTGATCCTAGCTTTCCCTCCCTCTGTCTTCCTCTCTCAGGCAAGCATACATGCTCCATAGCAAAAACTAAATAATGATAGTTGGGAAACTAAGGATGGGTTATAAGGGAATTCTGCACTATCTTCGTAACACCTGCAAGCCTGTCAACCAAAAACTGTTCTAAAATACATGTGTATTTTTAAAATTATAATTGGCTAACTCAGTTTGACCCTGACACTGCTCAGTTCCCAAGGCTCTTTATGCCCTTATCTTTTTTTTTTTTTGGAAGAATTCCCATTTATTTAGTACTCAAATAACTTGAACTATATTTCCATTTTCCATGATTTTTAAAAAAATCTACCAGAGGGTGTGTGTGCTCACTAGAGACAGAGTGAGAGGGAGAACGGCCATGTGACAATCCCTTCTCTATTTCTCCATCTTGGGACTCGGGGCGCATATGCACACATGCCTGGTGTTTCTCAATCTGCAGGGCTGGGACTCAGACTGTGCAGTTTGCCATGTGGGAACTGGCTCCCTAACCACCAGGCCACGGGCTGGCCTCCCCTTGTTTTTTTTCCCCCCCTTGGGAGAGGTTTTCGCTATAGGACACGTGCACTCACCAGAAAGACAGAGAGAGACAGAGAGACAGAAAGTGAGAAATCACCCCCAGGGGGATGGCCACACCACAATCCCTTCTCCTCCATTCTCTCGGGATCTTGGGCACGCACACCGGGTCCGGGACAACACGGTAGTCCAGTGACAGCCATTACACCATCTGCTGGTCCCATGTCCCCCCTTGTTTTATTTGCACCTTAGGGGGACCTCGTGGAATAAGTTGTGGGATTCCAGTTCTACAGATGCTGAGACTGAGGTTCTGAGAAGGCAGGTAACTGGCCAGTTAGTGGCAGAGCTGGGAACCTAACCCAGATCTTCCCGGTTTCCTCAAAGCCTGTTCCCCTTTTCTTGTGCCTCCTCCCGGGGGCCTAGCTCTCTCCTTTGGGGGCTCCAAGTCACCCCACTTGGACTATGGGAAGGAGGAGGGCTATAACTGACAGGGACTGGGGGGAGAGAGGCTGTACTGTGTTCCACCAAGGGGTCAGAGGAAGCTGGAACCTGACCACAGAAAGCGGGTGGGGGCAGGCCAGGCCTATAGGTGAGCCAGGGAGATCTGGGAGGCCAAGGGCACAGAGCTCGCGGGCGGTCAAGGCTGCTAACCACCTCTCTGAGAGGGCAGCAGCCCCGCCAGGCACCAAGACAACCACCCAGGTCTGGAATGGAGTCCCAGGGCTGGGCTCCACGGCATGCTGGCAGCGGGAGACCCGTCTACACATGCAGGAGCTGGGAAATGCTCCCCCACTTGGCCCAGGGTTGACTCATCTGCCCGGGGGGCCCTGCAAGGCAGTGAGAGTCTTACCTACTGTAGCCAAGCCTCTACCTCGGTGCCCATGTGGAGGCTACCCCATGCCCAAGCTCCAAATCTGGCCAGCAGTTTCTCACTGCCCCTCTGACTGCCTCGTCCTCTCACCCACCTGGCAGCCCCCACTAGTCACCTCTGCCCTGGGAAGCCTTCCCTAGCTAGCCCCTATGGTCAGCCCCTGTCTCCTGGCTGGCTCTAGGCAGAGCTCTGTAAACTGACTGGTAAGATCCCACCTGCCTCACAGGCTGACTCCCGGAGTTGGCGGAATAGACTACCAGCCTTGGCCCAGCTCCCACCTCCTGTATGCCCCCACTTGGGTTCTGGCTCCTGGCTCCACTCTGACCTATTTTTTTCTACCCTTTTTTTTTTTTTTTTTGAGAGATTGTTTTGTTTTGTTTTCTCCTTTTTCTATAGAGCGCATGTGCTTGCCAGACAGACAGAGACAGAGAGACAGAAAGCGAGAAATCACCCCCCAGGGGGGAATGGCCACGCTGTAATTCCTTCTCCTCTATTCTCCTCTCAGGATCTTG